GGATCCCTTTCTCATAGGACATGTTTTTTGCATATGCCCTGGTTGACCATATCAGTAACATACCCCCAATTCTTGACGACACTCGCCTGGGTGAAATTTACCACATTTGGAGCACTACGGGTGCTGAGTTTTCTTTAATGGGCTCATTATTGAAACATTGGTCTTACTAACACTAGTCTCTATTGGTCTCACTCATGCTGTTTGACCAATTGGTACTACTGACTCTAGTCTCGGTTTGGGCCCTCGTTCTCCTGGACTAGAGAAATATGTCAGTCTTGTCTCCATTGCCATTGATATCTCTCCTCCCCTACTAGATACTACAAACTGGAAAGACCTATTCTACTGCTAACTGTTACCTTTACTGGTTGACCCTTATGTAGCTCGTTTCTAGAATCTTTCTTGTCTCCTGATAACAAAGTCCTTTTCAATATCCTCTGCCTTATAAGCACATTCTACCAAGCCAGCAAAACCAAAATATGGTTGCATTTGAGTTTTTGTCTTGATTTTCAACCTAAGTCCCCGTTCAAAGAATCTACACTTCTCTGTTTCCTGTGTCACTAGGGGTAAAGCAAACCTGAAAAGCTTGGTAAATTTGGCCTCATAGTCAGCCACTGACATATTTCCCTGTTTGAGATCTAGAAATTCATCGCCTTTTCTATCTTGATAAACAACTAGAAAATACTGCCGATCAAACTCTATCTTGAATTCCTCCCAAGTGGTTACCTTGTCTGCAGGTTGTCGGATGGTGTAAGATGTCTACCACTGCTCAGCTCACCCTTTCAAAAGAAAAGCTGTATTCTGCACTCTCTCCTCATCTGTGTAGCTCATCAAATTAAATATTCTTTCATCTTTTTAAGGCAAAACTTTGCCTATAATGGATCCGTAGTACCTCTAAATTCTGTGGCTCCCAATTTCTTAGCTTTTTCCAATATTTTTACTTTGTCATACTTTTGCATCTAAAAACCAGAAGTAGATGCCACTGTGATTCCTCCTACTAGAATTGTCATTGTAGCCACTTCTAGTGATTGCATAACAGCTGGTTGTGGTTGAACTAGAGGTACAGATGCAAGTATCTCAGTTGAGGGATGTTGTGCAATGATTCATGTGTGTGTGACGCACCTGCCGCCACTAGGACCGGAGATGACATGCTGGATGCCTCCCTTAGAGGTTGGCCCACTTTGTCTTTATTAGTCATACTCTAACTAGTATGAGCACTATTCGATATCCTCCTAATGCTCACCATGATTGGTATAAATACTTGATATAACATAATACATCAAATAATATTTATTAGTAATACTATACACACACTCTAAATGTGACTAATTTTTTTTCTAAGATTTATTAATACTAACTTCCTAAAGATTTTAACATTGCTCTGATACCATTAATTGTCACACCCCACGCCGTAACTCGAGCGAGATGTGACAGTGAAATAGGGTTTAGCAACCTCCGATGCCTGGGATTTACTAGATAAAACCAAACCTTATTCAACTCTCGTACCTGCTGAGTCAAACTTACAACTCACATCTAAAGGTCTAATTGAAAAATCTAAATCGATTAAATGAAATTAAAACACGAATAGATTGAAAATATTAAAAAAAAAACTAATTGAAAAACTTATTCAAAAATCGATTAAAATTTTCTTCGTCTCTGCTCGTCCGCAACTCCCTTCTTCCCTTCTTCTCTTGAGCTCTCTCCCCTCTCTCTCTCTCTCTCTCTCTCTCTCTCTCTCTAGTTCTTTATTTATCTCTTCTTTCTCCTTTTCTTTTCCTTCTTCTCTTATTTTCTTTATCCTTTTCTTTTATTTCTTCTCCACCTTTCCTTTCTTCTTTTCTTTCTTATAAAAGCATTTTCCTTTAAGCCAAATGTGGGAGCATGAGACCCACGTCATAATGTCTTCTTATTTTCTTTTCTTTTTAATTATTACTATATTTTATTTTTATTATTACTATTATTTTTTTAACTAAATTTAAACCCGCTTATAAACTCACTAATTATAATTATGTAAAACAAAATATAGAATATATAACGAGGGTTTTGGGTTGAGATGTTACAAGCATTATCACGATACGACCGATAGAGAAACAGGTCTCTCAAATCTCAAAACACAACTCTTGCTCCCAACAAGATTTGGCTAGCAAAGTTTAGGATACAAACTCTGAATACAAAAGGCAACAGCATAAAAAATGAACAAAATACGACTCATAAGAAAGAACTTTTAACTCCAAAATTAGATTCAACAAAAAAAAAAAAAAAGGCTCCGATTAATAGCATTGGGAAGCATTGAAAGAAACAAAAACCCAGAAATGCATAAATATAATGAGAATGTGAAGCCCTTTCTTCAACTCCTCCCATCAGCTATCAGTGAACTAAAGTACAGATCCAGAACAGAGTCCTAATCATCTGAATTTGAGCTTAATTGCTTTAAACCAATTTCTGCATGACATTCGGACGGACTAATATTGCAATCAATTTCTCAAGTTTTCCCACCCAATTATGAGGAGATTGTAGCATGGTACCTTGAGATGCAATTTAAAGCTAAACAAATAAATTCTGTACCAGGCTCAAAAAAAGTTATTTGAATATACATAACCTTCATCTACGGATTCAACGATATGCTGCCTGATAAACACATTCTATTTTTTATTTACACATGCATTGGCTGCCCGCCAACCTCAATATTCTCTTTACCGAAAAAGTTAATTGAGTAAATTTACGCAATTGGTCTATGATATACGCAATTTACTTTAATAGTCTAGAGATGTAAATGCGTACATATACAAATGAGTCACAATGATCAATAACAAGGTGATCATTGGTTGGCAGTTGGCGTACGCAACCGACTTGCTTGCAAGCCCCACAGTCGTACCCTAAAGGAAAGGTGAACGCTCCGGTGGGAGGGCACCGGTACAATCCCCCCCTTCTGTGAGGGGGGATTGTAAAACTCGGCTGTGGGGCTCCCTCCCAATACAGGGGGCCCCGGCAGTGGGGCCCACCCCTTATGAGAGGGGTGGGCACCGTACCCTCCCCAAAGGGGAGGGTACGGTAGTCTTCGCCTAAAGGAAAAAGGAAGAAAGCCTCCCTGATCAAGATGTAAGAACTACTCAATTGGGATTCACTATTCATCGATTGTCTTGTGGTCATTCCACTGGAGGAACTGAATCCATGGACGAAGCCTGCCCTTAAGTTGGGAGATCTCTAATCTATGATTTTGACCCTAACATGTAAAATGTAAGAACCAATGAGCTCTTTGGATGTGACAATTCCTTCCACGTTAATTACCATTTTTATTAAAACTTTCCCCTTCCTTTTATTTGCAAAATCTGTTACAGAAAAGGACTTAAAAGCACACCACTAGTATTTTCAAATAATTTATAGCTTAGAAATTAAGGAATGATTGGTCCAAATGAGGGACAAATTTAATTGATCAATATAAGCTCATTTATAAACATGATATGCACAAAAATATAAGCAGCAAAAAAAATTAATCCCCTGTTATTCGTAATTAAATTGAAAAAGAATTTTTCTGATTTATCAAAGATAATTGACTGACACCAAAGTTTAATTAAATAATTACTTAATCTTATCTTTAAAAATAATTATATAATTTATTGATTTATAATAGTAAATAAAATCAGTCCAACTGTCAATTGACTGCCTTTTTTTTCACATAATTAAGAAAGAAAACAATTAGAAAAAAATAAAAGTAAAATAAAACATGGGTGTGTGTGGCTAACTCCAAGTAAAGTGGACGGCAATGATTCAGTGATTAGCGTGTACAGATCGCGGTTTTACAAATAATTTATTGTTGGAGAATATTGCTTCCACGAAAAAAAAAGCAAGCAACCTGTTCTCCGTTTTAATTGGAAATTGGACACCCATTTCCTAGTTTATTAATTCTAGATATTAAATTAAAACATGACTAAATTTTACAAAATTAATTTAAGTTATTTTAAAATTTTAATAATTAACTATTCTAATAGTAATATTTTAAAAAATTTAGTATTTAGAAGTTGAGAGTTAAAAGAATAAATATAACAATAATTTAATAGTGTTAATTTTAATATGATAAATATTACAATGAATAGTTGATAGAGGTATATAAAACAAAAAAGAATTCAATGTGATAAAATGATTTTTATCCTTTTAAATTATGTGTTAAATATAATAATACCCTACTCCATTTGTCTGGAAATCTTAATTCAAACTCCTTGCTATTGGGTAAAAGATGCAAACATGATCTTAGACCATGTTCTAATAGTAACTATGTTCTCAAAACATGATCTTCCCATCTTGTGTTCTTTTTTTTTTTCTTCCTTGGTTTAAAAAAATAACTAATGCTTTTATTCAATAATTTTATTATTTTAGTTATTATTAAAATAAAATAATATATTAAAAAATTAATATGTCATGTTTAGGTCAAGTCAAGTTAAATTAGACGTATTTCGAATATAATCACTGAATAGTACTTCCTTGAAGAAATTGCCAAAGATATCCAGCAGTCAGACAAGGAATGGAAAATTATATTCTTGAGGTACTTTAACCCAGTTGGGGCTCATGAGAGTGGACAACTAGGTGAAGATCCAAGGGGCATTCCAAACAATCTAATGCCTTGCTTGCATCAAGTTGCTGTTGGCACATTGCCTGAATTGAATATATATATGGCAATGATTATCCCACTCCTGATGGTACTGCGGTTAGCAGAACCATAATTCTCAGAAACTATTTTGCTCAAAAATCAATACAATAGAATTTTCAGTGTTTTCATTGTTTTCTCTTTTCATAATCATAGATAATGGCAACGATAAACAGAAAATGAAAAACAAATCCAAACAGTAAATTGTTCTTTACTAAGATGCTATTTGATCTGTTGTTAACAGGTCCGAGACTACATCCATGTTGTGGACTTGGCTGATGGTCACATTTGTGCTCTTAAAAAGCTTTTTGCAGATGACTTCCAAGGTATTTACCAATTTTCACTGACGAATGCAGCAAAAATGGGACCTTTGAAAGAAAGGGAGTGGTGGTGGGAGGAACTAGAGTAACCGGGACCATTTTGACCCTAAAGTGGATTATTTTTTTCAAATTCCACTAGAAGTTAACTTTTGTTCAAAATAAATTGTGCCTTGGAATAATTTAGATATGAATGCCTGTTGATGTTTCAATCTCTGTTTTGTATTAGGCTGCAGCACTTACAACTTGGGAACTTGTAATGGTACCTCTGTACTAGAAATGGTTACAGCATTTGAGAAGGCAGGTGGCAAGGTGACTGCTCCTTTATCTCTCAAATGCAAATGCATAGACACAAGAAGGTAAAGAGGCTATTTTGGGTATTACTAGAAAGTTATTATTTCTTTTTTCCAGAAAATCCCTGTCAAAATGTGTCCTGCAAGATCAGGAGATGCTACTGCTGCCTATGCTGCTGTGGACAAAGCGGAGAAAGAACTTGGCTGGAAGTAAGTTCTTTGTCATTTATGCCCTTCTCAATTCTTTCTTAAAAATTTCGTGAGTTCTTTACTATGAGTTTTTGCAGCTACTCTATTTTCTTTCTTTGTCTTCTCCAGGGCAAAATATGGCATTGAAGAAATGTGTAAAGCACCAATGGAACTGGGCAAGTAAGAATCCAATGGGGGAACAAGAAGGCTTGAGTTTTGGTTGTATATATATGCCAATGAGTGATAGAGCTAACTATGATCGAACTCCTCGGGTTAATTAAAGTTGGGAGTACTACGTTAGAGCCATGTTTTACTCTTTGATCAACTGGTTCAATTGTTTATTTGTTTTCTCCCCGTCCTCTACATTTTAAATTTTGTGTTAAGGTGCTGATTAGGCATCCTTCCCAGTAAATAAATTGTCAGTAGTGGGTTCCCTTACATATATATTTGTCATAGGTTTAAGGCCAATGCAGAGCAAGTTCTTCTTTGGCAAACATGATTTATTAGTAGAATTGTCAGATAATTGACTCTGTAATATGTAAGACAGTCAATGGAATTCTTTCTTAGAGTTTTTTCATTTTGCTTTTGAAACTTCGTAGAACTTGACATTTTTCAAAAAAGTCAAAAATCAAAACATAGGAAAATCGTAGAGAAATTCACAACTGGAGGAGAGGAATTAGAGGTTGAAACTATTCCTCTAGTAGTGGGGCTCTCTACTACCCTATTGATATGAACCCTTTTGATGTATGTATTTGATACTAAGGATTGACCTAGAAAGTCAATTTGTTTAATATTTATTAACTTAGTATCAGATAATAATTTTAATACTGATTTAGCAGATATTAAGGTTCTTGATCTAGTATCGAATAAATCATTTGAAAGTGGCCTAATAACCACCAAACTTAATTTGTAAAAGCCATAACTTAGTTTAATTTTAGTAGAGAAACTGAGAAAATATGTTGATAAATAATTAAAGAGTTCAATACTATGAACTCTAGAACGTATTTTATATTTTTGAACTCAACTTCTTTTCAATATCATTATTATTATTTATTAAAAAAATGGTTGCCCAAAATTCTAAAGTCAGAGTCCAAACAATGCGTGTGCGTGGAAATCCTCAGCTACTTTCCCTGATTTAGATATAGATTGGGGGCTGTTTGGTTAGTAGATTTAAGGATAAGTTTTTCCTTACTTTTTTCTCAATCCCCACCTACCCATATGCTGGACGTTTACACCAATTGCTTTCTGTGTATGTCAGCATCCTTATCCGTGTGATCAAATGAATATTCATGCATTTGTTAGGAGTCTAGTTTGGTAAGAAACTAGATTTCGTTTTTTGGAATTTGTACAATTTTTTCTTTAATTTTTTTAACTACAAAAAGGTAAAAAGCTAATAACTAGAAAAAGTCTAAAACCGGTTTTCTTAGAAACAAAACACCCACAGCTTTCATCTACAACATTGCTATCTCAATCGATGAACTTGCTAAAAGATCAATCACCACAACCACCATTTCAAAAATGGATCAACCTCCATACTAAGTTAATTTCTTTTGTACCCTTTTCAGTATAAGATATCGAAGACGGTTGCACATGCTGTTTACATTTTCTTCGGTGACAACAAGTCTGCCATCTGAGAACTCACAAGCTTGAATGGAGATGCCTAGCTGCTTCTGAAGCTTTCCACGACAAACACTTCAGACTCCTCACACACGGTCACCGCCGTTCCCTTCCTTCCAAGCTACTTTTTTACTCTGACTTGTCTACCTCGCATCTAATTGGGTTTACTTACTTTTGGAGCCTTCGTCGGCAGCTTCCAGCTGCTGCATGTCATTCTTCCTACTCTTGTTCCACGTCTCCAAATCACTTTTCAATAGTAGGCTTGTGTCTAAGGGGCATTGTCATGGCCAACATGGCTAAAATAACGCACACTAGTGCAGAATGGGGCTCTCTTGCAAAGCTGAAGTGACTTTCTTATGGAAAAACATTACCGAGGACAGTGAACCATGTTTGTGGCTAAAGTTGGCCCTTGGTAGAGTTCTCCCGTGAATAAATTGAAGCCATTCATATCATCCATACTGTATACAACAGTACAGATCAACACAATATATATATAAAACATATTTGTATTGAAAGAATGTAAAAGCTGGACAGAAGTTCGTAGAGAAAAAAGCTCATTAAGGCTAACTGTAAAACATCTTTTCGAGCATGCACATGAAAATCAGATAAAACCATCATCAATAACAAAGATAACCCAGAAAAAGTAACACACAAGAGCATAATGATCAGGCATCAATTGATACAGAGATTTAGAGCTAACGTAGCCCCAAAATCAAGCACCAAAAATAGCAAAATCACCAAGATCAACTTGAATTCCCTCTGCTACATCACCTAACCAAAATCCAAACAGAGAAGAAGGGTAAACATAGATCACCCAATAAACTTCAAGTGGTCTTTTAATATCTACTTAATCTGCATGAGGTACTAGAAAATCCAGAGTACAAGAATATACAGGGCTAACAATAAGATCAGGATTTGTTTTCTTCTCAGCAAGCAAAAGCTATGGTTATTAGGCTGACCTGGGACCAAACCCACAAAGGTTGCGTTAGCGGACAGATCAGGTTCAAAGACCGATTTCAATGCATCTTCCTCTGAAAACCCATTTGTACCTTCCTACTTGCCGTTCTACCATCTTCTTCTTGACTTCCGTTTCAGCATCTGGACTTCAACCCAGTCGATGGAATTGACAAAGACCCAACTTACAAAGTGTATGTGCATAGGTCATGCTTATTGGGCGGGATAAAAGGCATGTGATCTGCACGGGATCCCTTGTTTGGCCGTAAGGTTGAGGGTTTATTAGTCCACAATCTCCCGCTGGTTGGAGGAATGGCTAGAGAGGAATAAAAGGGGGGGACTGGATAGAGGAGAACTCTGTCCCTGACTGGCCCCCTCCCACAGGACAGATCGTCTTTGGGGGGATTGTCTCCCAACTTTTCATTTTTTAATCTAAAAATAGCAAGTTCTGCATTTTTCACTTCTAATTCTTTACAACCTTATATCCGACCAAACACATTGCACTTCACAAATTATCCTGTCATGTTTGATCTCTCTTAATCCTATTATATGTAATCCACAATATTCAATATCTTCTAATTCAACTACTAGTATCCCCCAGATTCTGTCCTTCCAATCAAACTTATCTGTTTGAGAATGGCTTCGAAGGGGGGCTTGGCCAAGCCGGGCTAAAGAGAAAGAAAGACTAAATTTCAGGGAGTTATTTGAAGTTTGTGTCTAGTCTGACAACTAGATGTTGTAGAACTGGGCAACTTAAATTACTGGGTTTTCAATGCCTTCAAAACATGGAACAAAATGTTAGAATGGATAGGTTATTTTCCACTCCTAAAGTGACTATCATCATCTACTAATGTTTTAAGATAATAAAAAGAATGATCTCATCTCTAGTAAATATTTACATACTAATCTCAGTTTGCTAATAGATTCGTTCGGGCAATTAATTCAATGGAATCAGGCGTACCATTCTTATCTCTTTTAAGTTCATGCAATTTCCATACTATCTCTTGCGCAAAAGAAATCGGGTAAAATCAGAGATTTTTTGCCCACTTCGGCCCACCCAAACAAAAAGCAAGGAGGAGAAGAGTGCCAGAGACAATAGAAAGATTATATATCCAAAGTGAAAGAGAGTCAAATTTTGAAGACATCTGTTCATTGACACCAAACCCAGCACTTCCGAGCCACGAAAAATGCTAGTGATGAACTGGAGAAGGATATGCTTATGTGTTTGGGGCTTGAGGTATTAAACCCCGCTCGAACTAAATCCACGTCCCATAACTTCTGTCAAATTCTTGAAAGAATTTCCTTTTCTTTGTTTTTTCTGCTTGGCCCAAGTAAGAAAAATTTTAATACGTGTGAGAAATAAAGAAGAGAGAACAATAAAGTTCTATGTTTTAACAGACTGTTTAAAGTTAACAATTCGGAAAAAAATTATAGTCACTTCTTATCACTCATTTAGTTAAAAGAAAAAAAATTTTAGCCGCTTCTTATCACTTATTTAGCTGGATTTTAATTTAAAAAGTGAATTTAAGAGATTAAAAATAAATTAAAAAAACTTTAATTTGACAATGACATTTTAAATTTTTTTCTAAAACTTAGCAACAGAATATATTGTTTTTATTTTTATTTGAAACTTTTAAATACTAAAATCACCCAATTAAATACAGAAAATAGAACATTGAATGATGAATATATCCTATCATTCACCTTCATGTCCTTTCAATTATCAAACAGAAAAGGGAAATTCATAACAAATTTTCCCCTCTTTCTTCCCTAGTTTGATTTTACATAATCTACCAAAGTAAAAGAGGAAATTTTGTTAAAGTATATTGGTATATAGTCATCATCCGAGGACTAATTTGATTTTATATGTCCTTTTCCTACTTTTGCTATGAGTTAACACGCCAACCATTTCGGTAAAAGTTAGAAGTTGGATATCACTTAGAATATATTCCCTTTCTATGTAAAATTTTTTTTCCCTGTAGTGCTTTATGTAAAATTTTTTTTCCCTATAGTGCTTTAGTTAATGTCATTTATATTTGTTGCAAGATCTATTTTGTACCTTATCAATGAAAAAAATAAAAAAGAAAAAGAAAAATGGAAAAGTTTGCTTTGCTTCCATTATGCTATTCCAAACATGGAGACATATTGGAGCTTCTCCTCACAGAAAGGATTGTAATTTTTTAGCTAATAACCCTGAATTGAAAAAAAAATTCAAAAGCCGAAATTTCAGCATCTATTTCCGATCGAGGAGCATTGCCAATCAAGAAATTGGCCTCCTCCAATTGCAATCCAAAGGGAGCCATAACAAACATGCCTGAGAATTATTATAAAATACTAGGATGTTTTAGACAAAGGAAACTAAATTAGTAAATTTACCTACCTACAGTTTCTACACAACATCACAGAGCCACGTTCAGTAATTCAGATCAGCATAGCTTTCTTCCCCTTTTCCCACTCCCGCTTTAGAAGGTCAACCGGAAGAAACAAATATGGAACCAACCCGTTTCAGGACACGTGTTATATGCTCGCTAATGTATTTCGCTGGACCCCGTAAAGCGTGCCCCTGGTTCCGACACCGAAATTCCAACCCACACCGTTTCCAAGTTTCGCCATCAACTTAGTTTACTCCATTCAGGATTGTCTTAGTGATAATCAGACCCCCCATCCAACTCTTCCGATTTCACATCTGACGCGTGCCGTCGAAGTACCTTGTCGTGGCCCCGGTTATCCGCGTCTTGTCGCTCTGTCTGACGCGCTTCGCACTGATGCACACACCGAACAGGCGCGGGCTCACAAGATTGCCCACGTCCTCTGCCTTTACTCCGCCGTTATCTGCGGCGGTGCTGTCAACTTCGGCGGGGAGATTTCGTCCGGGCATCAGATCCAGAGCTATTGCCTCAGGCACTACTCCAGCGCCGTTACCAGAGGCATAGTTCGTTACTAAAGCGTATATATTGTTGCAGAAACCTCGTAACCGATTGAGCTCCTGACGTAATTGTGCGTTCTCTTTTCTCAAAAGTTCGTTCTCTTCAAGAAGTTCCGGCGCAGCCGCGTAGTTTGTAAATCGATGTGCGACAGTGGCTGATGTGGCCGGCGGGGATGAGCTCGACGACAGGACCTGCTCCTCGCCAGAATTCGCCGGGGACACCGCCCGAGCTGCCGCCGGAATGGCCACGGTCACTGTGTGTGTGTTAGGAGCTGAAGCAGCCGCCTGCGAAATTTTCCGGCGTTGAATTTCTCGGAGAAGCCCTTTCTCGCCTCTCCTGAAGTACTCGTTCGCAAATTCCCATCGATCAGGCACAACTTTTCTGAATCCCTACATATTAATAATCTAATTAAAAGAACTTCTACAAGCCAAAAAAAATTAAGCAATTAAGCAAATGATTGTGGGGCTTAGTATTCTTACGTAAGTGTTTAGCTGGCGGACGAAGCTTGAGAAGTTATTGTGGTTGAAGTACTTGGGCAGCAAATCTCTAGCGAATTCAGCTGGTCGCCACACGATGAAGGTTGTTCCTTCTTCGTTCCACGAAATCAAGTCATTGATAGAGGCATTGTCCACGAGCTGGTAGGTTTTTGTCAAAAATGGTGTCGGTAGAGCCGTCTGAGACTCGCCGGCTGCCGACTCTCCGGTCTGTTCAACCGGCAACGGCACCATAATTCGTTATTCCAGTATCCAAAACCTAAGCACGGAAAATCGAAACTTCAGCTCTCAAATCAAACAGAAAATAAAATCTTATGCCGGCGGACCGCTTAATCACGGAGAAACACAGTCCAGGAACAATGATTTATTATCGAACGCATAACCATTGGCCAGATTCGTCAACATTTCTATGTTTCGAAACAAGAAGAAGATGTTATTTGTAACAAGTAGTTGGTTAGTTAATTGGTCAAATGATTGTTAGCAGGTTTACGTTCAATTTACAAAGTAAATGATTTCTCTTAAGAATGAAGATAACAATCATATTGGAGTAAATACATTCTTCTAAGTCTTCCGAAGGAAACAAATCGAGATAAATTTATGTACCTCGAAAGATATATCTTTTTCAGACGAAGTGTTCCACTTTTCCTCAATGAGTAGGTAACAGTAAACAGAAACGAAATAGTGATCCCTATACATAATAGAGACAACAGAGATTGAAATCATCAGAAAACCAAAAAAGAAAAAGAGGAGGTAGGGAGAATGAGGAATCAGCGGCTGGTTTGTTGCTTGCTTCTGGAAAGTTCGTGGTATTAGTAGAATCCCTGAATAGAGAGAATTTCGTGGTTCCTGGAACCAGAGACGATAGAGGGAGAAGATGAGGTGTGGTCCCACAGGGACGGGTGGGCCCTCTGGGTCCATAAAAGTGACTGGGTCGTGACGAAGTCACGACTATGAGCAATGCAAACCCGTTCCCCTTGTCAAATCCAACCCGTTCCCAGGTCTAGAAGTCGCACACGTTCGGGCCGAGTCATACCGAGTTTAGTCCCCTTTATTACCATTTTTTTTAATTAAAATCGAATTAAATGAAATAAATTTGAAGCAAATTATTTATTTATATATATAAATTTAATTTAATATTTCATAAGATTTGTACCTAGTAGTTAATATATGAAGTAGATAAATAATTTAAAATTTGACCAAAAAATTTTGATTTGATAAAAAAAATATTTTTTATACTTAAATTTTTCAATTCTTTCCATCGATGGTATTAATCTTTGAACTTTTTAATTTTTTACTTTAGTTCTTTAAATTAAAGTTGTATATATAATTATTAATTTAATAAAAATATATTATTAAATTCAAAATCAAATTTTATCAAATCATATAACTTAATTTTATATATGATTTATTTTATTTTAAATTAAAAATATTTATAATTTAATCTAATTTAATAAAAAATTAAATTGAATACAAATTTCTAAATTTAAAATAAATTTAAATTCTACTTAAATTAAAACTCGACACATTAATAAAATCTATCCAAGAGAATTCGCAAGGGTCCGACCCATAGGCCTAGCCTTGGGCTGAGCCCATTGGGTGATTGATTGCCAGGACGGAGGAGATGCAGAATATGGACAAGGATATTTTATTATATTTATGTAAGATTTTTCATCTGCCCAAAAATATTTTTTATTTATATTTATGTGATTTATGTGTTTTATGGAGGGATTACCTAAATTATATATATATATATATATCTATTTTGTTTATTATGGTTTACATGTGTTTCATTACATAATTCGATTAAAATTTGACTAACAAAATGATTCATAGAATAAAATATCAAACTATAAAAATAAAAAATAAAGGTGTTTTTCAATATTTTAATATTTTCCATTTGTCAATCATTTATATTATTCATGATAAAAAGATCATAATATTACAAGCACACGTATATGTAATATGGAATAATACTTTACATTAATTGAATTTACATTTTTTCTCATTTAACCACCAATCCACTACTTATGAATAGAGATTGCAATTTATATTATTTTTTTATTGCAATCTCTTTCTCTTTCTCTTTCTCTCTTATATATATATATTATTTTTTATTGCAATCTCTCTCTCGTCTCTCTCTCTCTATATATATATAGAGAGAGAGAGAGAGACAAAGAGATATTGCAATTTTATATTAACATTTTTTTGTTGCAATCTTTATGTAAAAGAAACTACTAATAAATGCAATTTTTAGCTTGGCAGAGGGCCAAATTTTTTTGTTGAAAAATTCAAAAATTAATTAAATGGTGTTCACAATTTAAAATTTAGTTTTTAATTAAAAATTATGTACACATAGATGGGGATAGAAATAATCTCATATTTAGATTAAAAAATATATATAACAATCATTGAAGTTGACAAATGACAGTTTCATAAAATGATGAATATAAAAAAAATATTTGCTTTAATATATGTACATAGATGGTAAAGTTGGTAATGCAAAAACCTTTTTTCTATTCCTTTAAAAGAATTTGTAAACTATCTAAAAATTGAATATTCATATTCCCTATTTTGTCATATATTTAAGCTTTATATTTTTAAATGTTGGAAAAAAAAAAGAAATTATCTTAAGAAAAAATAAAATTTAGTGAAATCATCTTGTAGTAGAGAAAATCATCTTGGTGAAAAATAGATGGTTATAATATTTGTGTATTTGCTACATACTAATTATTATTCTATACAACAGATAAAATATGATTTCTTAATTTTTAAAAAATTTTATTTAAATTTTTTATTCAATATATTAAATATTTAAGATGAAATAAAAAATTTAAGAGTTGAACTTTTAATTTTTTAAATAAAATTTATAAATGTTTAATTATTTAATTAAAGCCTTATAGTTGAACCTATTTAACCTTTATAAAATTAAACGCGCTTCCCCTGCACAAACTTAATTTAAATATATTATATATCATATATAAGTGATACGCATCAACAAGGACAACCTTGTAACAACCTAAAATATGGAGACCAAATTTCCACTCTCTCTCTCTCTCTCTCTCTCTCTCTCTCGTGTCTGTGCAGTCGTGTAAGATAATGGCCACATGATTCCGCTCTTCGAATCGGGTCACTCTTTGTTGTCTGCGATGAACGCCTCACCTTCGTCTTCGCCGCCTCCAACACCACCAGCACAAAACAAAGGTCTTACTCGTATGATTTGAACAAAATAGAACTATTGTCCATAATTTACTGAATCAAAAATTTAACATTAAATATAAAAATAAATGCAAGACTCCATGCACACCTCTGCTACTTGATTTTAATTGTTATATTTTTCTAGTTTCAAGACATGCGTGTCAACGGAGTTTCTGGTTATTGAATTTTTTGGGTTGTTATTTTTCTAAAAATTAAAAAGATAACTCTAAAATTTTTATTTATCTTAAATTTTTTAGTAATTTCAAGAATATTAAAATACTAGTGTGAAAAAATTAACAAGAAGTTTCATTTGAATAATAAAAAAGAATAAAGGAATTAAAAAATTTTAAAAAAAACTAAAATCAACAAAATTAATTTCTCAAAAAATTTAATTTTTTGAAAGTTATTTTATATATTTCTGTATTCCTTTTTACTGAAAGAATACATCATCTCCTTTCCCTCCAAGGAAGTCGGCCTCCCCGACGGCCTCACTTTTCTAAATTTCAAAACACCTAGTTCAGTCCTTTACACGTGCTTCGGAGTGCACATTCCCGGATAATCAGCCAATGGAGATAGCGAGTGGGCTATAAGCATCGGGCCATAACTTCACGTGCGAGGTTTGGCAAAGACGATGAAAAAGAATAAGTGAGAAATATTTGATCCAAGACAGAGAACTATATTCTAATAATTTGGGGCCCACGCAATCAAGAAAGAAAAAGCGAAGCCCTTTGACAGGTGGGAATATCCGCTGCGCTGACCTATAACTAAAGGGATACAATTATCAACATTTAGGCCAGTAAATAGCCGGCGGAGGTGTTTGTGTCTTGACGGCACTAACGACTAATTTGATGAGCTTGCTCATACTCACCCTCCATACTGGGAGGACCTTTAGTGTAGTCTTTCCTTGTCCTTTGGGCCTTCGGCCCCTTTGTATACCTATAAAAAAAAAAAAAAAAAAAAAAAAAAAAAAAATGAAGAAGAAGAAGAAGAAGAAAAAAAAAGAAGAGAAAAAAAAGGAAAAAAGTTGGCTGCAAAGGGGTTGAAGAGAGGACAAAGGGGAGGGATAATAATGAAGGGATGGGCCTCACATGTGTTAATTTTGGACCAGCCGCCTGTGGGGGTGCCCGTGATCTTGTGGCTTTTGTTTGTTGAACAGCTCTACAATGAGAGGCTGATAACTAGTGTTTTGAAAATTGGACCAGAGTTGGCCGATTCAACCAATTGAATAGAGAACCAGCAGGAGTAAAAAGAGAGAGAGAGAGAGAGAGAGAGAGAGAGAGGAAAGAAGAGAAGAGAGCTGAAAAACTAGAGACCCACGAGCCGCACCTAAGGAAGCAAAAAGGAGAAGAGAAAAGGAATGAAAAAAAAAGTACAAAAGTGAATGTTTGCAGCTGGAGGGTGGTTTGAATTAAAAGAATTTTTATTTTGGTCATTTAAAAATATTATTTTTATTCTTAATTTTTCAAAATTTTTACCATTATTATTCAAGTTTTCGTTTATTTCTTTTAAGTTTTAATTTGTTCAATTAAATTTTGAACAGTTATTTTGTTGTAAAGATTCAACAAGTTATCAAAGTTGTCATTAGATGTACCTATTGTAAGATATCTTCATGTGCAAGTAAAAAGTACTCCATCTTAACTTTGTTGCTTGGATTTGTATTTATACGTGCTTGGACAATTTTACTTTCCTCGACCTTTGAATATAATAATAACAATAAATTATAATGGAACAAATTATTAATTTTTAAATTTTTTACCCTTATTTTTTATCTTTTATATTTTTACATTATTTGTAATAATATATAAATATATATTTATATTAAATATATTTATAAATAGTTGTTATCAATTCAACTAATCAAACTTATAACCAGTAAGACCACTAATTCTATCATCGGTCAAGTTTTTTAAACATTGCTGATAACCCAACTACTTATGCAAATAAAAAAAAATATGAGAGTCATCTTTGGAATTTTTTTATAAATTTAAATATATGTCATTTACAAAAATAATAAATTATAAAAGACTACACTACTATTTTTACACATAAAGAATAAAGTTTGGTAACTTTTGTGAGTAAATGCACTATTGATATGTACATATTCATCCACTGAAATTTTATTACTAAAAAAATTATAAATTATGATAGTTAATTTCACGTAATATGGCAGTTTCAAAAATTTCATAATTCTATTCATCGTTTGGTATAGTACAATATTTTTTACTGAATAACTATAGTTTACACAAAAGATTATGGTGATTAAATCACGACAATTTAAAAATATCATGGTTTCAACCGCCACAATTTGCAATGTTTAAAACATGATAGTTCAAATGTTATAAATAACGGTGATTCAAATTTACGACGGTTAAAATATAGTAGTTTAGATTGCCTTAAATTATGACAGTTGCATTATGGAAGTTTTGTAGGGGTTCTAAACTACCCTTCTTATTATTATGGTGGTTTCATAATTAATTATGATGATTCTGAACCACTATTTTTTACTATTAATTATGGTAGACCTAAGTCACCATTTTTTTTTATTTTTTCACTTATCTTGATGTTATTGATTTATTTTTATATAAATTTGTTTTGACGTAAAATCTCGTAAATACAAAAATAAATAGGACTGGATTTTAAAATTATCATTAATAAATAAATTCATACAACAACCAACTCCAATTTGGCATTACGATTCAAGTGTCATCTCACATCTAGAATTATATTACAATAAGATAAAAATAAATATTCAACATAAATTGATAAAATTAAATAAAAAGTCATGTGACTAGAAGGGAAGAATGCATGACTAGTCGTATAAGCATTACTTCAGTACGACAATTGTCTTAAATCATCAGGTGATGTGACCCTACTTTTTCTATTTGTTAATGTTTATAATTAAAATAAATTAAAATAAAATAAAGAATTTTAAATATAAAAAATATATAAATATTATTAGACTTCGCCTGCTTATTACTTAGTTTGTCTATCTTAGAATTCCAGACTTGGTTGCATAACGACAGTAGGACGCAAAAAAGGCGCGTTTTTCGCGTGGGGAAGGGGGAGGGGTGACTTTAGGAAGGGTTCTAAATTTTTAATTATATTTGAGTCTTAGTTTTGACTTTTAATTATTAGTTAACATAAAAAAGTTAATTCGTTAAAAAATTAAAAATTATTTCTCTTAAATCAAGAAAATCGGAGTTGGGAAGAGACAGGCTAGAAAGATCTGCTGCAGACTAAAGTTCAATATAATCTTAAATATTATTTTTTTGCTTATTGGTTATTTTGAGTTTAAATTGCTCAAAAAAATTTGACTTTTTTTACGTTCTTTATTTGTTGTTTAAAAAAATTACCTTATTCTTTTTATTTTAGACAATCCTTTAATTAAGAAAATTCACGTGAAAAAATCCATTTGAATATTTTCCATTCTGCAATCATTTATAATATTAATGTTAAAAAGGTTATAAGGAAAAAATATTTATTGCAAAGAGAGAAATTTGTATATTGTACGTAATTAATCATTGGGGCTAACGAGCCATTCGCGTGGAAAAAAATATTTATTGCAAAGAGAGAAATTTGTATATTTTATGGGATTAATCATGTGGGGCTAACATGCCAATTACGTGACAATCTTAATTATTTTTAATAATTAATCACGTGGGGCTAACACGCCATTCGCATGCCACGCGAATGGCGTGTTAGCCCCACTTGATTAATTATTGAAAATAATTAAAATTGTTTAGAATAGAATTGAAAGAACTTAAATTTTTATTTCACATAAGAATTGTTTACATAGGGTCTTATTTATAGATAAACTAATTATAGTAAATTTTTAAAAATAAAAACAAATCCTACTCTAAGATAATTACAAACTAATTAATTAGATAATTATCTCAACACCCTCCCTTAAACTGATAATTAAGGAAATCAGTTTAGAGAGATGTATTTAGATGAAATCATCCTGAGTTTTGATCGAAACTTCACGAACACATCTTGTTTGAGGGGTTTGGTCATGATGTCTGTAATTTGTTCACCACTTGGACAAAACACGAGATTAATTACTCCATCATTGCACTAGTCTTGCAAAAAGTGATAACGAACATTTATGTATTTGCTTCTCCCCTATAATACTACATTCTTAGAAATCTTGATTGCTAAAGTATTATCACAAAAGATTGTGGTTGGTCCCACTTGTTTGCTTTGAAACATTTCCAACAACCTCCTTAACTAGATAACTTGACAGGAACATGTTGTTACAGTAATATACTCTGTTTCTATAAAAGATAAAGTAACTATCTGTTGTTTCTTTGATAACCAAGAGATTGCTTTAGAACTTATCATGAATACAAAGCCTTTTGGATTTTTCCTCAAGTATTTTTGGTTGGTCCAGTTTAGTTTTGGGCGTTTTGGATGGCCTGGTTCAATTCTACCGGTTCAATTCTGGCCGATTTGGTTCATCCAGTTCAGGTAGACCGCTTTGGGTCAACCCGGTTTTGTGGGGTTGGGTCTGGTCGGATTGGTTTTAGCGGTCTGGATCAAGTCAACCCTATTCAGTCGAATCTGCTACAATCAGGTCGAAGCTCGGGTCCGGATCTGTTCTGTTGAACTGGGGCGATCGGCTTTAGTCTGCTTCGGATTGACTTCTATAGATCGGGTTGGACTAGTCTGTTGCAGATCAAGGCTTCGAACTATTCGGTGATGGTGGAATCTGGATCGAATTGCAGCGTCACAGTTCTATTGAGTGTCGAAGCTCGGATCCAGATTTGTTGAAGTTTGAATAGTCAACAATGGCGAGTGTTGGATTGGATCACAGTCTGGCTCAGTTTGATTGGACCTGGAATAATTTGTTGCAGTCGAGTCTCAACCGTTCAGATCTGATCTGGTTCGGATCTCTTGTGCCTTCCACGGGTCTGGATTAGATTTGGCTTCACCAACAGTGGCGACCTAGGAATCTTGGTAGCTTCAGTTCCTTCGTGAAGAAGATGACTAAAGTGCAATCTGTGCACTTTAGTCCCTTAAGCCTTCTGCTTCTTTTCTTTGGGCCCTTCTGGTTTTCTGCTTCGATAGATTGACTCCTGCAATTTCTACTTAGGTTACTCTATCTTTTGATTTCTTCTCCTAAGTCCTTTATGCAGAAAAAATCTTAGGATTTCTAACCTCAATCTCTCAATTGCTTTGCTTAGATCCTTACTGCGAAAGGATCCTAAGTAATGGCTTTGATACCACTAATGGAATTGAAAGAACTCAAATTTTTATTCCACACAAGAATTATTTACATATGATCTTATTTATAGATAAATTAATCCTAGTAAATCTTTAAAAGATAAAAACAAATCATATTCTAAGATAATTACAAACTAATTAATTAGATAATTGATTGCTTCTTATGATTTCATTTTTACTATTGTCATGAGTGGTAGTAAATTTAAACACAGAGATTCTAATAAAATTTGTATTCTCCAATTCCGAAATTTCAATTTTAATTGTTGATTTAATTATTGTAAGTATTTTAATTTATGCAATTTATATTCTCCAATATCTATCAATCTCTCTCTTTCTCTCTCTATATATATCACATCAGTACATAATTTTACGCATGCTGTAGCAGTATAAATATGGGAGTAATCCTCACCCTTACCACCGATAGACTGATAGTTGCAGTTCTCTCTCCACAGTCAACTAAAAATGAAATCAGATTCACGTCCCTTGCACATTTGCTTCTTTCCCTACTTTATACCAGGCCACTTGGTCTCGCTTTTCGAAATGGCTCGACTCTTCGCTGTCCGCGGAGAACATGTCACATTCATCACCACCCCATCCAACGCTGCCATGCTCCAAAAAGTCGTCTGACAAGGATGTCGCCGCCAGTCTCCACGTGGCCCTCCACATCATCCCCTTTCCCTCCAAGGAAGTCGGCCTCCCCGAAGGCATCGAGAACCTCGTCGCTGCCAAAGACCGGGTCACCGCCAGCAAGATTCACATGGGCATGTGCCTCCTCCAACAACAGATCGAACAATTCCTGGATGAATGCCCCCCAGACTGCATTGTCTCCGACATGTAGCACCCGTGGACCATTGATGCTGCTGCCCAACTCCGCATCCCCCACTCGTCTTTCAACCCAACTGCGCGTTCTCCAGCTGTCTTCAAGAAGCCATACGCCGTCCTGACTCGCCACATCTCATGGCCAAGTCCGACTACGAGCCGTTTGTCATCCCAGGGTTGCCCGATCCCATCACCATGATGCGGTCTCAGCTCCGGGCTTCATTCTCAAACCAGACAGGTATTACTAAGAGGTTTTTACTATATAGCATTTTTGCTGGTGAATGCCTAATTATTTTTTAGTAAATTTCCTTTTTAATCATAGTTCCATCTAAATGCTAGAATAATATTAACATATAATTTGGTATAAAAGTAGACAATAAAATAAGTTCAAAAATTCTATATGTAACTATTTGTTTTCATGAAAACAAAATCTGTTTCTTAAAAAAATCTCTAGAAAATTCCAAGAACAGTCCCAAATATTTTATATTTCAAAACAAATCCAAATAGACCACACCCCAAAAGCTATTATCACTCCTGTGCGAGTAATCCTGACGCTCAGTTCTAACAGGTTCACCAAATTTACTGAGCTGTGGCGGGATGCCGAACTGAGGAGCTACGGCGTCGTTTTGAACAATTTCTACGAACTTGATCCTGTTTACACCGACTTATACAAGAAGCTAAGGGGCCACAAAGTCTTCAATATTGGCCCTGTGAGACTTATTCATCGGAACAGCGGAGAAAAGGCGGAGAAGGCACACAAGGCGGTGATCGAAGAGGAGGAGTGCCTCGCTTTTCTAAATTCCAAAACACCTAGTTCAGTCCTTTATATTTGCTTCGGAAGTGCGTGCATATTCCCGAATAATCAGCTAATGGAGATAGCGTGTGGGCTAGAAGCATCGGGCCATAACTTTATGTGGGTTGTGTTCGGCAAAGACGATGAAAAAGACGAAGAGAGAGACAAGTGGCTGCCAAAGGGGTTTGAAGAGAGGACGAAGTGGAGGGGGATGATAATAAAGGGATGGGCCCTACAGTTGTTAATTTTGGACCATCCCTCAGTGGGTGGTTTCTTGACTCATTGCGGTTGGAACTCAATGATCGAGGGGATCACCGCGGGTCTGCCCTTGATCACGTGGCCTTTGTTCTCTGAACATTTCTACAACGAGAGGCTGGTGACCCAGGTACACATGCCAAAAAAAAGGGTGTGTGTGTATGTATGTATATATATATGTATATATATATAAGTGATCAATTGACACAGTTATAAGTATAAAAGATTTATATCAAATCTTACATCTAGGTATGTAAACGGGTTAGATTCGGATCAAATTAGGATAATCCGAATCCGAATCTGATTACTAATGTATATATCCAAATTCGACCCGAATCCTATAGAATTTTTACTTATAACTACCATATCTGAATCCGATAAAATCTAAAATCCGAATGAAAAATCCGATCCGAATAATAGTTAATAATAATTAAAATCAAACAATCAATAAGTAAAAAATACAAAAAATTAAATAAATTGTTATTTATGAATAATAAAAATTTATGTAAAATTTATGTTTAATTATTTTGATTTTATTAAAATATAAATAAAATTCATAAATAAATTATTATTTATGAATGATAAAAAGAACTTTTGTTATATAATATATTACAAAAATTATGATAAGATTTCAGTAGTTTATAAAATTATCAAATTTTATTTATATTATAGTTAGAATTTAGAAAATTTTGTAATCAATTTATTCAAGTCTTTCATAAAATTTCAAAAATAAATAATTATTAAATACAATATCTAATGAAAAAATTAAAATTAGGAAAAGTAGAAGAATATTGTACAGTAGTTTAGAAAAAATATACATTATTCTATTAAATAAAATATCTCACAAATACAAATTAGTGTATTATTAATTATAATGCCACATATATTGCATTATATATAAAAGTATTTATTAATATATATATGATTATTAATTAAATAAAAAATATTATTATATATATTCGAATTTGGAATTTTAATAGATCAGATTGTTTGATTCTATATCCAGTCTACTTATTTCAGATTACGGATATTTATAATCGGATTTAATTCATCGTATATTTTAATCGGTTAAAGAGCCTAAAATTCGGATCGGATTCGTATTAAAATCCAATCTATTGATAGCCTTACTTACATTGTTAATTTGGTTAAAATCAACGGATGAGATTAATTAACTGTAAATTAATTATTAGAAATTAGTGGAAGACAGTTGTAATTAATCTCATTCGTAAATTTGATAAAATCAACGATATAAAATTTGGTATAAGTTTTTATACTTACATTTTGTGTCAATTGGTTCTTTCTCATATATATATATATATATATATGACTTATCTTTAGAATTTTTTATTATAAATTCAAATATTTGTCATTTACAAAAATAATAAATAACATAATACTACAATATTATGTTCATACATAAAGAAGAAAAACTAGAAACTTATGTGAGTACAAATTCATATCTACCGAAATTTTATGAACATATGTTACCAAAAATGTATATACACATATATATAAACATATACCTTGAATATCTAAGATGCTAATACTAAAGAAATTATAGCTTAAAAATCAAATAAATGTTGATGCATTTTTGTATATTGTCTTAAATTTATAATTAAAATAAATGTATAACATGGCACTACTTGATGGGTATAGGTGCTGGGGATAGGGGTGGAGGTGGGGAAGAAACATTGGAGCCTGTGGGTGTGGGACGACCTTGAGAAGGAGGTGGTGGGGCGGCTGAACATAGAGGACACAGTGAGGAGGGTGATGGATGCTGGAGATCCAGTCGGGAAGATGAGAAGAGAGAAGGCAAGAGCGTGGGGAAAGAAAGCACATGAAGCCTTGGAAGAAGGTGGGTTTTCTCATCAGAATTTGACGGTTCTGATTCAGGAACTGAAAGAGCTCAGAGAAATGAGAGGCTGACGGTGCTTTCCGGCATTAGAAGAGACGTCGAAGTTCTGCTCGCGTTTTTCTTATCCAATTTCTATACTCTTGAAAAGAAATAAATTTCTTACATTGCTCTCTCTCTCTCCGGCCCAAGGAAAACTCGGGGACCAAAAAGCCAGTCTCAATATTTTTAACTACTTAAAATTATCTTCCTTGTCAAATTTTAGTTTTATTGGTCGTTGAAAAGTGCGTACGTCTATTTTTAAAAGAAACTAATTTTAACGAATAAAATATATAGATAGATTATTCCATGTAATCAAGCCAATTAAAGGTTGTTGTGAAATATAAAAACAGCATCACAACTTCTACAATAAGAAATTGCTAAATAAAAGAATAGGAAGAATTATACAAATTTAATTATATGATTAATATTATCAATCTATATGATTCTTAACTTAATTATATGAAATTAATTAACATTTGATTTTATAATAAAAGTCATTAATTAATGTGTAATCCTAGTCTCTTTTTATCATTTTCCAAATTAAAACCAAAGCTAACAAACTCTAAGTAGGTCTTTTACCATCCAAACAAATTCTATGGGATATTTGCAGGTGGGTAATGTTTGAATAAATGGAAAATTAGTCTTTAAAAATATTACTTTTATTTTTAAGTCCCTAAAATTTTTACCATTATTATTCAAGCTTTCATTTATTTATTGTAAGTTTTAATTTGTTTAATTAAATTCTGAACAATTATTTTATTCTAAAAATTCAACAAGTCATCAGTATTGTTATCAAATGTACTTATTGTAAGATATCTTCAACTAACGGAGATAGCGTGTGGGCTCGAAGCATCGGGCCATAACTTCACCTGGGTTGTGTTTGGCAAAGACGATGAAAAAGAAGAAGAGAGAGACAAGTGGCTGCCAAAGGGGTTTGAAGAGAGGATGAAGGGGAGGGGGATGATAATAAAGGGACGAGCCCCACAGTTGTTAATTTTGGACCATCTATCAGTGGGTGGTTTCTTGACTCATTGCAGTTGGAACTCAGTGATCGAGGGGATCACCGCGGGTCTGCCCTTAATCACGTGGCAGGTTTTTTAAACATTGTTGATAACCCAACTATGTATGCAAATAAAAAAAATTATTAGTCATCTTTGGAATTTTTTTAATAAATTTAAATATCTGTCATTTACAAAAATAGTAAATGATAAGAGACTACACTACTATTTTTACATATAAAGAATAAAATTTGGTAACTTTTGTGAGTAAATGCACTGTTGATATGTTCACATTCATCTACTAAATTTTGATCACTAAAAAAACTATAAATTATGGTAGTTAATTTCACATAATATAATGGTTTTAAAAATCCCATAGTTTGATTCATTGTTCGTACAAATGCAACATTGTTTGCTGAATAACCTTAATTTACACAAAAGATTATGATGATTAAATTATGATAATTTAAAAATACAATAGTTTTGACCATCACAATTTGCAATATTTACAATATGACAGTTCAAATGCAATAAATTACAATGATTTGAATTTATGGCAATTAAAATACAATAATTCAAATTATCATAAATTATAGTAGTTGTATCATGGAAGTTTTCAGATTAATCACAGGGTTCTAAACTACCTTTCTCGTTATTATGGTGGTTCCATAATTCATTGTTGTGATTTTGAACTACCATTTTTTAGCTATTAATTATGGTAGACTTAAACCACCATTTTATTTATTTTTTTACTTGTCTTAATATTATTGATTTCTTGTTATATAAACTTGATTTTTCATCAAATCTCATAAATACAAATATATATATATATATATATAAGAGTGAAATTTAAAATTGTCATTAATAAATAAATTATTTCAACAACCAACTCTAATTTGACATTACGATTCAAATGTCATCTCACATCTAGAATTACAAGTCACGTGACAATAAGGGAGGACTCATGTGATTAGTGATATAAGTATTACTTCTATCTAATGGTCTTCTTAATCATCAAGTGATGTGACCCCACTTCTTCTATTCATCAATGCATATAATTAAAATAAAATAAAATAAAAGAATTTTAGAATTTTAATTTTAAAAAATATATAAATATCATTAGACTTGGCCTACTTGTTAATTAATTTATCTATTTTAGAATTCCAGACCTTGGTTGCATAATGAGAGTCGGACGCAAAGAAGGGGGCGTTTTTCGCGTGGGAAAGGGGGAGGGGTGAGTTTAGGAAGGGTTCTAAATTTTTAATTATATTTGAATCTTACTTTTGACTTTTAATTACTGGTTGACCTAAAAAAGTTATTTCTTTAAACAAAATTAAAAATTAGTTCTCTTAAGTCGGGAAAAATCGGGATTGAGAAGAGACGGGCTGGAGGGATCCGCCGCGGGATTTGTAGAAATTTTTGCAGACTAAAATTCAATATAATCTTAAATATTATTTTTTGGTTTATTGGTTATTTTGAGATTAACTTGCTCTAAAAAAATCAACTTTTTTTATGCTTTTTATTTGTTGTTTAAAAAAATTACCTTGATCTTTTTATTTTAGACAATCCTTTAGTTAAAAAAATTCACGTGAAAAAATCCATTTGAATATTTTCCATTCTGCAATCATTTATAATATTAATGTTAAAAAGGTTACAAAGAAAAATATTTATTGCAAAGACAGAAATTTATATATTTTATGTAACCAATCATTTGGGGTCCAACATGCCATTTGCGTGTGTCACGACTCAAAATCGGATACGTGATCGGCGCAAGAGTCAGAATAAATCCCAACCCATGCAAGAATGACAGAAATACTAAATTTAATTGAAAAATAAAAAGTCTGATATAACTCAAATAAAATCCAAGCCATGCTAACTGAAATATCAAACACAAAACATAATCTTGTCTGTAGTCAAATGGAGCATACTAGAATCCTAGGACTACAAAGTCTGATAAAACTGAATCACTAACTATGAACAGAAAAATCTAGCTGATGACACGGACTCCTTTCAGCAAGCAGGTCTACTGGATCAGCGTACTCAGAATCTGAAAAAAATAAGGGTGAGTCTATCGACCCAGTGAATAATAATTTATATTTACAAGATCAAATGACATGCATACAGTTATAACAGGTAATTTACTAAAACATATTTATTTTTCAAACACTTTCCATCATTTAGGGAGTTCGTAATTTCTGAACGTAACATATATCGGGAAACTGAACAGCACAGTCAGCTGATAATCAAAGCAGCGTCACACAGTTAGCTGGTAATGGCAAAAAAATGCCCAAGTAACCAAAATGGCAACATATACCCTGATAACTGAATGACAACATATGCCCTGAAAACTGAAATTGCAACATATGCCCTGAATAACTGAATGGCAATATATGCCCTGAAATGTCTAGCACTGTCACCCCTGCTAGATGGGAACCCATACAGGGTGCAGATCATGCTAACGTATACTGCTGTTAGCTGTAGTGTTCAAAATCTGAAAAACTCTCTCAAAATAAATGTTTTCCAGATTTAACAGAACAGTTAACTGAATAATTCTATGTATTGATATAAAATTAAGTCAGATATAAATGACAGATAAGTTCCAAAACAAATTCTAAAATTACATGCATGTCCCTTGTCATATAATTTAACAAAAATTTGATTAGATTTGCAGAAAATCAGGTAATAAATAAAAACAGATTTAAATTAAATATAGAAAGCAAAACAGCTTATAAATACACATTACTACTCACAGCACGATGAAATCGGGAAATCTAACACTTGACGATACAGCTTAACCAGAATCGGGCGATCGATCTAGAATCAGGAAATAATAGTATAACTAAATAAAATTTTCTGATAATAACAATTTAAATTTAAAAGTAAACCAAATTTCTAGGTTTGCATGCCCGAGCCCCTTACTATAATCATTTAAACCCGAACGGGTCAAATTCTTCACAAACCAAATATAACTGTCTTAAACCATTCCCTTTAAAATATCAAATCAGTAATTTTAAACCTTAAATAATCATTTAATGAAGTGAACCGATCATTAAAGGAATGAACCAGTTGTTCGGAGGCTAAACCAGCCATAAACCGAAACTTAAACCATTAAACTAGTCATGTTTTTATTTTCAATACATTTAATTAACTTGGAACTGGGTTAAAAAGCACTGAACCGGTCCAAAGGAGCACTAAACCAGCCCTTAGAGTGTTGAACCGGCCGGTTTAATGCATTTTTGCCTTGAACGGCCTTAAAACTAATTATTTTTGCTGAACCAAAACTTAAATAATTATATTAATTATTTATTTATTTTATTATACAATGAACCGGAATTAAACCAGTCAAAAACCAAGTGAACTGGCCTGTTTCCTACTGAACCGGTCGGTTTTCTATATATTTTACCTTAAAATAGCTTGAACCGGGGCTAAACAGTATTGTTTTTCATTGAACTGGCACTTAATTAGTTAGATAATTAAATAATTTAATTACCCAACCTTGAACCGGTGGAAAACCGATCAGTTCCTAGGTGAACCGGTCTGTTTTCCATTTACTGCTACTATTTTATTATATATATATTTATTATTATTATTTTTTCTTTACACCCCGGATCTCCGGGTTTTGGGCCGCAGTTTAAATCTGCTTCGGCAGAACTGCGTTGGCCCACTGGGCCTCCGCCCAAACCAAAAAGGAAACCACCCCAAAGTCTAGCAGCCCAAATCCCACAGATGTCCAACCCAGCTTCCCATACCCGGATCAACAGAATTCTGATTTCTTCATTCAGGTCTCGTGTAACCCGATCAATAAATTCTAAATTTTAAAGTTAAACTTGAAAGACTTACTTGATTCTTTGTTTTCGAATCTGTTCGTCTAAGGCAGGCGAGCTCCGAAGACCTCTAATTCCCTCTGCTTGAACGAACAATAGAGAGATCTTCCAAAAATTCTTCCCGTCGTCCACTGGTTCATCCGAAAGAAATTTCTCGTCTTGATTTGTGATTTTGGTTTACAATTCCCCAAATTGATTTGTGGGTTGTGTTCATTCCTTCCCGTCGCATCGTCTTTTATAAGCATTCTGAGCAAATCGTTGATGATTTGCTCAAATTCTGGTTTCCAAATTCTTGATCGATCTGATGGGTTCAAATCTGGAAATTTCGGATTTTCTTGAAATTTAGTCCCTCGATTTCTAATTTTGTCCTAATTTAGTCTCGGCAGTTCTGGATTTCAGTTGATTTGATTCCTCTAATCTGGATTTTTTAATTTAATCCTTGAAATTATTGATTTGTTAAATTTTGGCCATAGTTAAAAGAATTTTATAAATACCCCTAAATTAAGGTTATTACAGCGTGACACTCCCCGATTGCTATTAAAAAAAAAAGAAAAAAAAATCATATATGTACATAATTTAATGCACGATGTAGCAGTATAAATTTGAGACCACTCCCGTCCTCGTCACCGATAGACTAATAGTTGCCGTTTCTCTCTCTGCAGTCAACTGAAAATGAAATCAGATTCACGCCACTTGCAAGTTCGCTTCCTTCCCCACTTCGTACCGGGCCACATGGTCCCGCTCTTCGAAATAATTGATCCACAGTCCGCAAAGCGGGGGAGTTGATTGATCTGAAATTTAAAATTCACGTAAATTAAAATATTTAATAAATCATATATAATTATAAATATTTATAATTTAAATAAATTAATTAAAAATAAAAATAAAAAATTTAATTTATTAAAATTTAATTTTAAATTTTAATAATATTTTTTAATTAAATTAATAATTTTATGTGTATATATATATGTATATGATATTAATAAATTTAAAGTTGTATAAGCTAAATCAAGAAAATAAAAAAATTTAAATATTAATATGATTGATGAAATAGAGTTCACGGATTTAAATGTAAAAAAATTTATTTTCTTATCAAATCAGATTTTTTTATTAGATTTTGAATAATATACTAATTTAGATATAATTTAATAAACACAGATCTTATAGAGTTTGGAATTAGATTCGAATATAAAAATGATTAATCATATTCATATTTAAATTTAGATATATGCTTGATTTGATCTAAAATATTTTTATATTATTCAAAAAATATATTTTCAATTTCCATGTATGTGTATATAATATACAATTAAATTTTCGTTTTGAGTTATCCCAACCTAGCCAATAAGCTCTATATGTGATGGAAAATTATTTCAAATTATGAATGTGTAAAATGGCCTAGCTTCTACTTTTAGAAGGGTTTTTATTTTAACAAATTGATCAATTGGGTACTAGTGAGGGCACTTGAATTTGGTTTCTTTCGCCTTTTAAATTTTATGGTTAATATATAAAATTTAAAATAATTTATAAATTAGAATTTAGTAATTATTAACCTACGGCCTCTTCATGCTGACGGATTAAAACATTATTTTTAAAATTTTACAAAACTGAGTTTATATTAAAAATTAATATTTAAAAAATATAGTAATTTATCTCAAAAAATAATAATTCAAATAAAATGGGAAATAATTTGAAAATTTACAAGGATGAGACGCCCTTTTGTTCTTTTTGCCACCCCACAAGGATCAAGATGGCATGTCTGGAAAAAGGACACAAAAAAAAGGGAAAATGTGATAAACAAAATATAGGGAATATTTATGGTTTTATTTGTTTCGGTTTAATATTTAAATATAAACTAAGTTATAATTTATAATTTATAATTTTTAGAAAACTAATTTAAATTACGGCTCAAGATTTGATTCGATTTCAAATCATGATTTATATTTGTATAATAAAATGAATTGAATTCACTATTTTTATAAAAATTTTGACAGTATTTTTCTAAAAATTAGATATCTAATTTTTTAATCTGTTTAACTCAATAAATTTATTATATATCAATTAATTATAATAATTATATATTATTTAATAAATAATATTTATTTTTATAATAATAAAAATCACACACTAAAAAATAAAAATAATTAATTTTAAATAAATATAAATATAATATACTGTCAAATAAAAAAAATAAATTATATATAATAAAATTTTTATTTAATATATATAAATATACAATTTAATTTAATTTAAACATTTTATTTATATATTAAATACCAAATTAAACTCCATAAAAATTTTATTTATATATTAAATCAAATTACCATTCCATCGACTTAAACAGTTTATTTCCACCTGTTAAACACCTGAACAAAATCAAGGAGGCATATTAATTAAAAAAACGAGCGGATAAAACACAGCGAAAGGGTGGGCTCGGGGGTACTGGAACCTGTGCTCGGGCCTGCTCTGCCAGTTCCCTCCGAAGACGGGGCAAAGATGTTAAGAGGTTTCTACTTTATTCGTCGGAACCTGTCAACGCCGATTGCTCGCGAGCTTCAGTTATCCGGCCAAAATGGCGTCGTTGTCTTCCTCAACACCGGGCCACGCCTATGAAATTCCCTGGGTGGAAAATTACAGACCCACTAAAGTGGTCGACATTGTTGGCAACGAAGACGCCGTTTCTCGGCTCCAAGTCATAGCTCGCGATGGCAATATGCCAAGCCTTATCTTATCTGTGAGAATCCCGTCCCTTCCGGTCTCATGTCACCTCAGACGCACACAAAACATTCCTCAAGTTAGAAATTTGCTTACCTTGTTACGATTATCAGCTATGTTATATGCACAACTCTAATATATGCCTACATATACGCATAGTCAAACACGTGTCCTTGTAATGGTTGATAGCCGAGGTTTATAGCTCGTCAAGGCTTTGTCAGAGACCGCCTGAGATATAATTTGACGTCCTCGCGTTGGGTTCCACTGTAAAAGCCCTAACATGCGCTGTTCAAGTCACTCAAAGTTTGGGTCTTTTTATTGCGAAAATTTGTGATCATCTGGAAGAGTCTGTTCGTCATCTTGTGTCAACATGGGGCCTAGGTATTATTTCCACTTGGGCTGGTAAGACTCCAGACTTTGCCGTGTTTCTGATAATGTGCACACTGTGCAATATTTTTATTTCCATTTTGGTGCTCTCTCATTGAATATGAATGTTAATTTGCATCTCAAAAAAAGAAGATGGTAGGCGGTTCTTTTGAAAATTGGGAGAAAGGTCTGACTCTTGCCCATCCATCAGTTGAAATTATTGCATGTTAGATGGGATATTTGAAGTCCCCATTTTGGTAACTCTGTCAGATCACATGTTGGCTGGGGAAGAGCCGGTAGTGGTGAATTTGCGTTCACTGGTTAGATGTTACAAAGTCATCTGCTTGATTCTTCTGTTCAGATGCAGCAATCCCCGCTTCAGTTTATAATCTTTCTCATATAGTAGTTATTGGTTGAATTTGATGCTAGAATTTGGGACTCACTATGCTGCTCTGTTGCTACTTCAAAATTATTATAGGGTCCTCCTGGGACCGGAAAAACCACCAGCATATTGGCCCTTGCACATGAACTGTTGGGACCAAACTTTAAGGAGGCAGTTTTAGAGCTAAATGCATCTGATGACAGGTATATAATATTATGTATGAAGTCTCTCAGCTGTAATCTCACATTTAGTTGTTTTTGTTAATTTGCAAATATATAATTATCACTTATTGCCCCCTTTTCTTTCAGGGGAATTGACGTAGTGAGAAACAAAATTAAGATGTTTGCTCAAAAGAAAGTTGCACTACCCCCTGGGGGCACAAAATAATAATTTTGGATAAAGCTGACAGGTGAATTATAATATCACTTCTCTTTATGTGGGCCATTTGTTGACTCAGCTTACTGCAAGGATCTTGGACTTCTCTTTCTCTTTCTTCATTGTTTGCATCTCGCATTTAGTAATGTGTGATTTTTATATTGTTCACATGCCATTTATTTGTGTTATTACTTTGTTTCGTTTGATTTGACAAATATATTATATAATTTTTGTGGTTGTTTACAATCCTATTGGATACACATTAGCATGACATCTGGAGCACAGCAAGCCTTGAGGCGCACTATGGAAATATATTCAAATTCCACCCGTTTTGCTCTTGCCTGCAATACGTCATCGAAAATTATAGAGCCTATCCAGAGTCGATGTGCCCTTGTTTGATTTTCAAGATTGTCCGACCAAGAAATTCGTGGTCGACTCATGGTGGTGGTGGAGGCAGAAAAGTTTCATATAATTCCCCTGGCTCAGTTTATTTGTCATCTCATTATTTGTTTTTAACTTGATTTTGTACATTCATTTGGGTATTATTATCTTGTTGGTGCTGGTTGTCAAACCAACTAAGTTTCCCAAATAAAAATATACGAACAAATAAAAGCTCATTAGCCTTTGTTAAGTAACCTAATTTTTGAAAGGTGGATTGAGGTGTAAGAGATTTGTGGTTTGCAGCTTTGTTACTTATTCATGATAAAAACTTGAGCATTCTACCTGATCTTTGTTGATGCTCCTGTTTTGGTGGTTGTAACTGAAAGCATGTGTGTATAAGATTTAAAAATTTTAAATGGGATGTTTCATAAATGATTCGTTGTTTGATTTTATTAACAAATATTTCCTAAAGTCTGCATACGCATCATTTTACTACTTTCATGAGCTAGTTGTGGAATTTTACCAACTTTTTTCAAGCTCCAATATTTGTTATTACATTTTGATTCATTTCTTCTGTTACGTGCATTTTGCCGTTTGCTTTCTGAATGGTATCTTAGTGCGGGCACTAAATGGGAAACTCAGATGTATGACTTTTCCCCCATATAAGCTGATGTGTACTGCATGAGTACAAAGAAAGCAATTAACAGATCATGTGGAATGCAAAGACTGGTGGAATAGTATGATTCTCGACTCTTTGGACTTTGTATATTGTATGAATTGAGGAAAAATGAAGAGACGTCTGAAAACTAATACCTGGTCAAAGGCTGGACAGTGGAGTTTGTCTCTTCAAAGTGAGCTTGCAGTACACTGGCAGTTGGAGAAAACACATGTTTGTAAATTAAGTTACTTTTAGGAAAGTGCATTTATATTCTGCTAGACATTACGGCTTGGATGAATTTAAGGATTTCAGTCTGTGTTCAGCACCTTTTTCAATTCTTCTTTCCTGTGAATACACTTTTTTATGTATAAGCCTTTCCTTTGCAGAATTTCCTTGTCCTATTACAATCTCAAATTATATTTCCTTCCGTCTGTTTATGATTAGAAATGGTTCCGTTTCTACTGTTTGAGTTCTGCTTTAAGTAAATTGACAAGTGCAGACTGGAATTTAGTTGGTGAGAGTATGAGCAGTATATGACTGTCACCAATTTCGCCTTTAGGCCTTCTCTGTTGAACAGCTGCTGTTATCCGTTAGTTTAGTCACGAATAATATTCTCTTTTGGTTTTCTTGGCTCTTTTACAATCTTTGAATTTCTTCCCCCCAAGCTTTAGTGTTTTCTCCCCAAGCTTTAGTAATCTTCTTGATAGAATAGTGCCTAACTAGCCAATTTGATTGGTGTAATTAAATATTCTTGATCACTTTCATTCAATATATATATAATTTTTTCATTTATTGACCATCTTTATCGAATGTATAAATTTTATATTTGGTTGAAATCCTTAAATTATATATAATTATGGGACTTGGTCGCGCATATGGATGGTGATCCCGAAATAAGTTTTTATAGTTTTAGTCTTAAATGTTCCAAGTCGTAGAATAAGTCGAGATAGGGCATTAACTAGATTCAGAATAAACTTGCACGTGTATAGCATGCTCATAAGGAAGTTGTCTTGATTCATAGGCAATTGGTGTAAGTGACACTAATGCATACGTGCGGATGCTTGTTAGAGAACAAGTTTATTGAACGATACTGCATAGAGAATTCTCTATTGGATGCTTGTCGAAATTAAAATTCTCTATGTTTGCGATAATGCATTAAGTAATCTTTTGACTTGAGGTTTTGTTGTGATCTTGTATATGGGTACTTGTATTTTGATGTTTTTTCCCGATCACAGGTTAATTATATAAAGAGTTTTATATTAGACATAAATCATTCATATATAGAGGTTTACGAAGATTGGCATAGGATCTATTACTTTTCTAACAGAATAGGTGAATCTCCTATACTTTCTACAGATAGTTGTTCTGAAATTTCTTACGCAAAGCATATGACAAACAATTAGAAAAGGAGTTTCCTAGATTGATCATTAAACAAATGTCTAAAATAGATGTATAGTTATTGAGATTATTGGGATACCAATATATTATTCAAATCTTGTATCTCGATCGGGAGATTAGTTAATAAAATAATTGTATTTGCATGGTACGCACAAACGGAAAAAGGTTCATGATTTTACTTTTACCTAATTTAGGTCTTTACAGGCTTGTTGCTACACATATCTTGTAAAGTGTGGGTATTCTTGTTTTAATGTAGATTAGTTCAAGAGTGGTTAATTAAAAGGTGTTTAATTAATCAAAATAATTAATTATTCATATATTAAATCGTAATTTGTTGTGGGCCCACTGCTAGCTAATTGGTAAATTTAAGGGATCACACACAAGGGCGAATAAGTTCATAAATGATATGAGAATTTATTTGAATTAATTAATTTGATTAATTAGTTAAAACTGATTAATTAAATGATTTGTCATTTAATTAATAGATAATGGAGAGTAAAATAATTATATTCATTAAATAGTTTAATTAACTAATTATTTAATTTTATCATATAAAATCTCCTAATTAGTTGGGAGATTATTAAAGATAATTAATATGAATTATCTAGATAGATATTATTTGATTTTTAATTAAATAATATAGATATTATTTCTTAATTTATGATAAGATAAATATAAAATTATTTCTCTATATAGGGAGGTAAGAGATCTTTGTCAAGAGAGACTTTCAAATAGTTGAGAGGAAAAGATTCTCGACAATCTTTATATCAAGAGTTATCTTGATAGCAAAAACTCATAAGTTGAGAAAAATGTTTTTAGATTACTAGCATAATCCTAAGCACTAATGGATGTTTTCCATGTGCATACCGTTAGAGGAAGTATATTTAAGCTTTTCGTGAACTATTCCAATATACGTGCTGGGTTATTGACGCACGAATTTGAATTCGTTCAATCCCTATATCAGTTAGAAGCTCGTGAGGTATAAATCAATTTTCTCAGATTAAATTTATGCATATTGTATCTTGGGGCATAGAATTAGGGATCTAATGTGATTTGATTATGAAATATTTTTTTTTTTATTTTTGATGCCTTAAAATTCTCTATTTTGGTGTGAAAAACTAACAGTGGTATCAGAACTCACTTTATGCATTTTGGAATCTGAGAAATTTTTGATTCATATAGATGAATCAATTTAAAATTTTGGTATAAAGAGTAGTTTCAATTGTTGGGGTTTTTGAAACCTTAAAATCTTTTACGCAAAATTAATTTTGTCAAAATTAATTAATAATTTAAGTTTATTAAAACTTAAAAAATTTTATTTATTTTATTATTGAAATTATTTCAAAATAAAAAAAAGTTAAAGCCTTTTGTTACAAGGGCTGTTTTTTCGACCAAAGTACCTGCAAGCAGAGAGCCATTCGACTCTATTGCAGATTTATTTATAGAAAAAAAAAGGAAGGCAATTAACACCTCTGGAATAGAGGCAACTTTACTGTTATTTGCATTTGTACCCATTTAAAACTTGTTTGACTTTGTTTAAAAAAAAAAGAAAAAGGGAAGAATGATTTACACAAAGAAGCAGTCATGGCTGCTTGGAACAAGGCATGCGGGAGGTGTTGCCTGGCTAGATTAAGGCCAGTGACACCATGGCAGTTACAGGTTTTTAATAATTTGGTTTAATAAATCTGCAGTAGTATATATAAATGTGTGTGTGTATATATATCTTCAACTTTTTTTTCTACAATAAAATAAAAGAGGAGGTTTTGGACATGTAGCGTATAGGCGGACACTACTACCACTACAGGCAACGATGGCGGCGTTTGCCATGCCCAACCAAGGTGGTGATCTTTGACTGGGGGTGAGCCCCTTGCCATTGTCGCCACTAGCGGCTGTAAGTAGCGGAGCCATTCGGCTCTGTTACAAGAGAAAAAAAAAAAGTTGAAAAAGAAGATGAGCAAACGGTTCGATTGGACTGGACGGGTTTGGTCTAGTTTGGTTCGGTTAATTTTAATGAAAAATATTTAAATTTTGCGTTTTTGTGATTATGAACTTAAAGACACCAATTTTGAGTAAAATGGAATTTTCTAAAGTGTAGAAAAGATTAAAAATAAATAAATAAATAAAAACATCTAATAAATTTATCGTTTTATATTTGATGTTTATGTTTTTGTTGGATGATTTACATGATTAGTTATGGATTAATTGGTTTTAAAATAAGGCCTGCGAACCTTGTCTTATCTCTTACTCTTGTGTATATTTCTATCTCCTTTTATGTATATTCCCTCGGGTTTATTTTAATGTTTCTATTATTATTAATTGTAATAATTATTTAAAAGGATAGAAGCGAGTGAAATTGGTGTATTATGGAGAATCAAACCCACACATCCATTGGATTCTAATGAAGGCTAATGGAAGATTAGTCTAGGTTTTATTTTAATTCTATAGGATATCCACAACTATATCATTGCTTTTCTTATTTTTGTGATATACTTGCTTTTATTCTGATTATTGCATCCATGTAGATAACTTAATAAGAAAAGTAAAAATTTATGGGATCTTGGTCTATTATAAAACC